CCATCGTCATCTGGGGGACTATTGGAAGCTGTTCAGCAGTGCGTGGGCCGACCGATACACGGGCTGTCCACCTGTCGCTGGCCAATCACTTAGCGATTCTAAGGCCCTCTGGACATGACAGAAGCCTGGCCGAACATCCACTCAAGAAGTTCTGGAGTACACCAAAAAGATCGTCCAGTTCTTTAGATGGTCCTGGCGATAAAATGATCGTGGCGCTGAAAAAAGCAAACTTTTCCGATTCCTGCGGACCCTTGCCCACCATTCCTGGTGAAGTTCTACTCTCTTGCAGCTATTCTCGCCATCTTCTTTCTCGTAAAACAACCACATTGATCATCTTTGATTGCTCCTAATTTGGCAGCGTAACTCCCGGCACTCCCTGGGAACTGGATTTCTGAGCCAGTTCCTCACAAAGCCTCAGACGAGAATGATTTGTCTATATTAGACGAGTCCAATCCTCAAACGAGCTCCCTTCTGGGGAATTACAGCACTTTTTCACCCATCTGTTGGGCGATTACCACGTTGTTGCGCACAAAACCCTGGCGTTTTACACGGTTATCCGTATGTCACAGTCCTTAAGTGGATCACCTGCCCATCCAAGCGCATATTTGACTGCACATGACAGGAAAGTGTGAAGTATAGTGCCAAACATGTCCTAACAGCAGGTGATCATTGTCACTGTCACCTGTTGACGTTGCGTAATCTTCATGAGCACTCCGAGAGCAGGTCTTGCCGGTTCCTACACAAACCTTGGCAATGTGGTAAGTGCTGTCCACATTGTGAGTCAGCACTGACCCCAGAAAACGTCTCATCAAACATGCGCACCTCGACGATCGCACTGACCCTTCGCGACGGGGAAAGCCGTCGGCAAACATCCGCTGCGCGACACCTCGCTCGTTCACTTCGAAGAACGGAGGTGTTAAATGACCCCCTTAATGAATAGAACGCTCTCACCAAACACCTCTGGACAACAGCGGCGGGCGAATGCAGGTCAAACTGTAGAACAACCTGCTGCCACTTTCGTTGTTCTCCGTGGTAGACGAGCAAACATGTAACTCAAATAGTGTACCAGATATCGATACTATTAAGTTAGTGTCGTTGGAGCCCACTCAGATCTCGGGAGAGGGCAAGACATTTGCTCGTGATGTTTTCTCAAAATTAATTGAAGCACAACGCAATTAGTGCCAGCAAACGACGCCCTAACGAGCGATTTCCGGCAGCACTGGCTGAAGCTTTCAGGCTTATGCTCATAAAATTTAGCTTTACAGTGATGAAAGGGTGCTGGTCGTTTTGAAGGGGGCAATTTGTACTTTTGCGAGTTCCTTCTGCGATTTCTTTTTAACTAACAGGTTTTACTCTGAGACTTTGAACCTTGCGAAGCTACGATGTGGTACAAGTAAGCCACTTTAGCTGCAGGAGTTAATAGGTCCTTACCCTACCCTGATGAGACTCGCTGAGTACCATTTTGTGTCCCCACTAAGACGAATGGGCGCCGTGAAAAGTTCCGAAATGGATTTAGGACTGTGCAGAATAGCTTTGCTGGTTTGAAGATTATACAACGAGCCAAACTGATGCAGCTGTTCGGACTGGCGATATTCGTTGGAAAGGGGGGGGAGGAGGTATCGACAGCCAGCTTGTACTGAGAAACCTCTTGCACCCTTCCCTTTCCATCAGCCCGGCAAGCACA